TAGAGTGCGCTACAACCCGGAAAAACGCGCGAGACTCTAACGTTAACTTCTTCGCGGGAAATCGATCGCAAAGTTGAAATTGTCGACTACTGGTGTACTGTCGACTACTGGGCCCCTTACCCTAAGTAACTTTTAGTGGAATCTATGCGTCTTGGATCGTACTACAACATACCTGAAAATCAAAATTAGATGTGGCAGTTAAGTGCAGACCGGCGCAGAAAACCGGCCGTGTGTCTATGTCACTTTTAACGGCTGTCGTGGGTGAACGGTTTAACAATTACTTAATCAATGCAATTTTCTGAATTGAGTTTTAATTTAGTAGGAAAAGCTGCTTTTGTGGGAGGCGCGCTGACTGAAACTCCATCTAGCGGCAGTCTATTCAAGGCTTCGCGTCGAGAGGGCCGAGGGTACAGAAAGGAGATGGTTGGTTTTGGGTGGCATGGCGTCGGTGTAGTGGTAGTCCGACCACACCACTCTTCCCACGACTTTCTGGCAGTCACGAATTTGTGGGAAATTTGCACCCGGCGTGTTGCACGGGTAGAAGTTCCCCGACCATGTGTAGCAAAATCCCTTCCCGCCGCGTGGAGATTTGCAGGCAGTGAGGTGCGCAAGTACCATTTTCCACCCACGGTCACGGAATTCCCTCGTCGGGGTGGGGAAATCCACAATCGTTGGGTGCCGAACGGACCCTTTCCAGCCCACGTGGCTCCATGGCGATTCGGCTCCTCGCAATTCGTCCCCTTGAGATGACTCGCACCCAGTTCTTTCGTCCTCAGCTCTTTTGTCATATTTTTATTCGTCCGAAGATGTCTTGTCCTCAAATTTAAGAATTTGTACCTTTTTTTTGTCCTCTATTCGTCCTCTGGTTGCCGGTAGGATAGTTAGAGGCAACGTCGTGACTTCGTTCCTCGTTACACAACAATTTCAAAAAATACCAACAAGAACCTGATTTTATTTGTAAATGTATAATAGAGTGTGCTCATACTTTAACAAGCAAGCACTGTATATGGCATCGACTACAATGGTGCACTTTCCTTTGCCATCCGGCAACCGCAACGGCAGAACCCGGGTGAAAAAAAGAACTGACCCGAGACAGCAGTAAACTGACTCATCCGACCGGGGGCTGATCTTAGCTGACGTGCGTACGACTGAACGAGCTGAAAGTAGGCAAACTTGGAGCGCCTCGAGCCGACTTGGAGCTGACAGCGAATCAGTTTACATCAGCAAACTATCAGTTCACCCGACGCTACCTGAATGAACCTGAGATAGAACTGAATGAGCCAAAGACCAGTAATACTCAGTTTGACCCAGTCCCCAAAATCTACTGCGGGAAGCTGTACAGTTACTGAGTCACGCTCAGTTTCTCCATTCAGTTAGCGTCAGTCGCAGTTCAGCTTCTGCTCTGACTGCCTTTGGCTGGACGTCAGCTGAGTGGACCTCAGTAGCCACGACTCAGCAAACAGCAGTCCGATTCAGTAAAGCTGATCACTGCCGTTACCTGATTGTGGACTGAACCGCTATCAGCTCCCAGAATCAGGTGTTAGTCAGTTCTACTCAGTAACAAAAATGTACTGCGGAAAGCTGTGCCGCTACTGAGTCACGCCGAGTTTCTCAATTCAGCCAGCGTCAGGTCCGCTCAGTACTACATCAGTTACCCGATCAGTTACTATCAGTTACCTCAGGAGATGGTCAGCGCGACGCAGCTGATGTTCAGTCTAATATCACTTACTTGTTCAGTTACTCTCAGTTTTGTCTGTATTTCTACATGTGAGCGTAAAGACGTCAGTCCCTGGTTGGCTTCGAGTTTGGTGAAGTCAGTCGATAGTCAGTTTGATCAGCTTCGGAGCAGCTTAAAGTAGTTTAGTTTCAGTTAACGTCAGCTCCACGCAGCTGTACATCAGTAAAATATCAGTTAACCGCAGCCTCGGATCAGCTCATTTTTTAAAACGGGAAGTACCGGCGCATGAGCGCCTTCAAAACATCACGACCAGTTAGGCCTATGGGCAGTACAAAGACGAAGAGCGAATCGTAGATTTCACTCGTGCCTGTGGTCACAACTCCTGTGCTGACAGCTTAAGTAATATAGAAGTAACAAGTCGCCTGGGTACTAATTAGAATAGGGGACGAAGTAGCCGGGGACAAAAAATGCAGGGACGAATCATACTAGGACCAATAAAGCAATCCGGTAAAGCTGAAATGCAGAAGAATGCGGGGAAGAAGAAAACGGAAATCGCTATGCTTTAACATGGTGACTTCCGTTTTCTTCTTCCCCGCATTCTTCTGCATTTCAGCTTTACCGGAATGCTTCATTGTCAAAGAGTCGAATAACCGTAGTACGAACTAGCCTGTTCCCAGCCCACGTTGGGAAAGTTGCAGTCAATGATGTCAGTAAATTCACTTGCGTGGGCAGGCAAGGATCCTTTAACAGCGCAAGTGGCATGCAATGGCTCCTTTCCATTCCAGTAGGTAAATTCCCAACTTATGTACTGCAAATCCCCAACCTTTGTACATGAAATTTCCCCACCCAGAAGCTAGTAAAATTACTTATACATTTTTTACCGTGTAACGTTTGGGACTGACGGCCTATTTACGACTCTGCCTTTTGCCCGACTCGGGTGTCAGCGCCGCAGGCCTGGGTGGATGTATGCCGGGCGTGTCGCAGTGTAACAGTGTTGCGTGAGATTTCGCGAAGCCTGTTTCGCGAGACGTTGTCTGGCGTACATCTACCTAGTTTATGAATAATGTAACGAGTAACTAAGTAGACGGACGTTATTTAACGATAACGCGTTACACCCGTACGAAAAAGTTTAGTCCGGCATCAGTCCGTTTTCGGTCCGGAAAGAGTCCGGCTGGACAGTCCGTCATCAGTCCGCCAAAGCGAGCGGACTAGTCCGCGAAAAAAGCCAGATCGACCAAAAAACGACCTATTTGCCGGACTAGTCCGGCTGGAACTAGTCCGCTTTTGGTGCGC